GTTACAGTGTCGTTAACACTGCTGTTAACGCTGCCGTTAATGTGCCGTTAACACGACGTTACAGTGTCGTAAACACAGCCATTAACTCTGCCGTTAAAGTGCCGTTAACGCTGCCGTTAACGTTGCCGTTAAAGTGCCGTTATCATGCCGTTATAGCGCCGTTAACCCTTCCGTAACGCTGCCGTTAAAGTGCCGTTGACACTGCCGTTACAGTGTCGTTAACACTGCCATTAACTCTGCCGTTAAAGTGCTGTTAACGCTGCCGTTAACGCTGCCGTTATAGTGCCGTTAAGGCTGCCATTAACGTTGCCGGTAAAAAATGCCTTTAAAGTGCTGTTAACACACCGTTACGGTGTCGTTAACACTGCAGTTAACGCTGCCGTTAAAATGCCGTTAACACGCCGATACAGTGTCATTAACACTGCCGTTAACGTTGCCGTTAACATGCGCCTCAAGTGCTGCTCACCTCTACTCATGCCGTTAAAGTGCCGTTAACACTGCCGTTAACGTTGCCGATAAAGTGCCGTTAACATGCCGTTAAAGTGCCGTTAACACACCATTACAGTGTCGTTAACACTGCCATTAACGCTGCCGTTAAAGTGCCGTTAATATGCAGCTAAAATGCCGTTAACACTGCCGTTAACGTTGCCGTTAAAGTGCCGTTAACATGCACTTACAGTGTCGTTAACACTTCCGTTAACGCTGCCTTTAACGTTGCCGTTAAAGTGCCGCTAACATGCCGCTATAGTGCCATTAAAGCTGCCGTTAACGTTGCCGTTAAAGTGCCGTTAAAACGCCTTACAGTGTCGTTAACACTGCCATTAAGTCTGCCGTTAAAGTGCCGTTAACACTGCCGTTAACGTTGCCATTAAAGGGCCGTTAACACTGCCGTTACACTGCCGTTACACTGCCGTTACACTGCCGTTACACTGTCGTTAAATTTCCGTTAACATGCCGTTCTAGCGCCGTTAACACTGCAGTTAACGTTGCCGTATAAGTGCCGTTAACATGAACTTACAGTGTCGTTATTAAAGTGCCGTTAATATGCAGCTAAAATGCCGTTACCACTGCCGTTAACGTTGCCATTAAAGTGCCTTTAACATGCCTCTTTAGTGCTGTTAACCCTGCCGTTACACTGTCGTTCAAGTACCGTTAACATGCCGTTCTAGCGCCGTTAACACTGCAGTTAACGTTGCCGTATAAGTGCCGTTAACATGCACTTCAGTGTCGTTAACACTGCCATTACAGTGTCGGTAACACTGCCGTTAACGTTGCCGATAAAGTGCCGTTAACGCTGCCATCAATGTACGCTGCCGTTAAAGTGCTGTAAAGTGCTGTTAAGCTTGCCATTACTCATGCCGTTAAAGTGCCGTTACCGCTGTCGTTAACGGGCCGTTAACGATGCAGTTAACGTTGCCGTTAAACTGCCGTTAACACGCCGATACAGTGTCATTAAAACTGCCGTTAACGTTGCCGATAAAGTGCCGTTAACGCTGCCATCAATGTACGCTGCCGTTAAAGTGCCGTTAACACTGCTGTTGACATTGCCATTAAGTCTGCCGTTAAAGTGCCGTTAACACTGCCGTTAACGTTGCCATTAAAGTGCCGTTAACATGCCTCTTTAGTGCTGTTAACACTGCCGTTACACTGTCGTTAAAGTACCGTTAACATGCCGTTATAGCGCCGTTAACACTGCAGTTAACGTTGCCGTATAAGTGCCGTTAACATTACCCTAAAGTGCTGTTAACCTTACCATTACCCATGCCGTTAAAGTGCCGTTAACACTGCAGTTAACGTTGCCGTTAAAGTGCCGTTAACATGCACTTACAGTGTCGTTAACAATCCCCTTAACGCTGTCATTAACGTTGCCGTTAAAGTGCTGTTATAGAGCAGTTACATTGTCGTTAATACTGCAGTTAACGTTGCCGTTAAAGTGCCGTTAACATGCTCTCACAGTATAGTTAACGCTGCCATTAACGCTGCAGTTAAAGTGCCGTTAAAATGCCGTTACGGTGTCGTTAACAGTGCCGTTGACGCTGCCATTAAAGTGTCGTTGACACTGCCGTTAACGCTACCGTTAAAGTGCCGTTAACACGCCGTTACAGTTTTGTTAACACTGCCATTAACTCTGTCGTTAAAGTGCTGTTAACGCTGCCGTTAACGCTGCCGTTAACGCTGCCATTAAAGTGCCGTTAACTCGGCGTTACAGTGTCGTTAACACTGTCATTAACGCTGCCATTAAAGTGTCGTTGACACTGCCGTTAACGCTGCCGTTAAAGTGCCGTTAACATGACACTAAAGTGCTGTTAACCTTGCCATTACCCATTCCGTTAAAGTGCCGTTAACACTGCTGTTGACGTTGCCGTTAAAGTGCCGTTAACATGCACTTACAGTGTCGTTAACAGTGCCCTTAACGCTGCCGTTAAAGTGCCGTTACAGTGTCGTTAACACTGCCGTTGACGACGCCGTTAAAGTGCCGTTATCATGCCGCTAAAGTGTCGTTAACACTGCCGTTAACGTTGCCGTTAAAGTGCCGTTAACACTGCCGTTAACCCTGCCGTTAAAGTTCTGTTAACATGCTGTTACAGTGTCATTAACACGGTCGTTAACGCTGCCGATAAAGTGTCGTTAACGATGCTGATAACGTTGCTAATAAAGAGCCGTTAACATGCCGTTATATTGCCGTTATCGCGGTCGTTAAAGTGCAAGTAATATTCCGTTATCGCTGCCGTTATAGAGCCGTTAATGCTGCCATTACCGTGCCGTAATAGTGCCGTTACCATGCCGTTATAGTTTCGTTAACACTGCCGTTAACGTTGCCGTTAAAGTGCCGTTAACATGCCGTTACAATGTTGTTAACTCTGCCATTAACGCTGCCATTAAGGTGTCGTCATCACTGCCGTTAACGTTGCCATTAATGTGCCATTAACATGCCTTTACACTGTCGTTAGCACTGCCGTTAACGCTGCCATCAATGTTGTGTTATCGCTGCCTTTAACGGTGCCGCTAAAGTGCCGTTAACATGCCGCTAAAGTGCCGTTATCGCGGTCGTTAAAGTGCAGGTAATATTCCGTTATCGCTGCCGTTATAGAGCCGTTAACGCTGCCATTACCGTGCCGTAATAGTGCCGTTACCATGCCATTATAGTGTCGTTAACACTGCCGTTAACGCTGCTATTAAAGAGCCGTTAACATACCTTTATATTGCCCTTAACACTGCCGTATCGCAGTCGTTAATGTACCTTTAACATGCCGTTAAAGTGCAGTTAACAATGTCATTATCGCTGCCTTTGAAGTGCCGTTAACGCTGTCGTTAACGGGCCGTTAACGATGTCTTTAAAGCTGCCGTTAAAGTGCTGTTAACAATCCGATAAAGTGCAGATAATTCTTCTGTCAAAGTGCCTTTAACTCTGCCGTTAACGATATTTTTAAAATGCCGTTAAAGTGTCGTTAACATGCCGCTAATGTGCCGTTAACACTGCCGTTTACGTGCCGTTAACGCTATCTTTAAATTTGCCCTTAAAGTGCCGTCAACATTGCTTTTAATGCTGCGGTTAACGTGCCGTTAACATTCCCGTTAACTTTACTATCACTATTGCCATTACCGTTGCTGGTACTGTTGCTGTTACAGTTATTGTTGCCGTTGTCGTTTTCGTTGCTGTTGTCGTTACCGTTATCGTTACTATTGCATTTCTGTCGTTACGTTTTCCGTTAATATTGCCGTTGCTTTTACGGTTACAATTGTCATTAACATTACGTTGCCGTTAACATTGCTGTTATCATTATCGCTGCTATTGCCGTTAGGTTGCTATTACCGTTAACGTGGCTGTCTCCTTTGTCGTTGCTGTTATCGTTATCGTTAATATTTCTGTTTCTATTTCCGCTGCTATTGTCGTCAACGTTTCCTTGCCGTCAACTTTGCTGTTGCCGTTAACGTTGCTGTCCCCATTGTTCTTGCCATTACCATTGCTGCTAATGTTTCTGTTACCGTTGCCGTTGCCGTTACTTTTGTTGTTAACGTTGATTTTAATTTTGCCATTTCCGATGCTGCTGCTTTCCCAACATTTATTGTATGTATATTCCACACACATCTACAGAGTGTCATGAATATACGGCTTCATTTATCCCGAGCAGGTAGAATGGACTAAATTGAGTAGAAAAACTCTCTACCATTTTGTAATGCTCGCAATAATTAACGAGATATTAACGTTTAAAGATAGCCGAATACGTGTGTCCGCTTGACTTACTATTGTCAAAGGTACGGCTCACCAAGCGCACGGGCCGCGAGGAGCGGAAACTGACTTAGCAGGCGCGCCGCGCCCTTTGAGCTTAGATGCTCGGGACGGTAAGCCCCATTCCTCGCAGCCCGCGCGCCCGGTGGGCCGTATTTTCGGCAATAATAGGTCGGGAGGACGTGCATATTCGGCTATCTTTAAATGTTAATATTTCGTTAATTATTGCGAGCATTACAAAATGATAGAATACTTTTCTACTCAGTTTAGTTCACTCTACCTGCTCGGAACGAGTGGGGCTGTATTCATGACACCCTGCATATGTATGTATATATATATATATATA